ATCAAATTTCATAAAGAGAAACATAAATGATTATATTCTCAAACTTAATTATTCTACATATTATCTTCCAAATTGGTTTCTAGAATGGAAATATTATGTGATTAATATATTTAAAGATAAATTAGCTTTTATTGATTAACAAAAATATCCAATAGATTTTTTCAGTTTAAAACTAAAATCAATAAAATACAAGAAAATATATTATTGTGCCTATTGATACAGCCAACTGTAATTTTGGTTACATCTGCAAACATTTTTATGCACAGCTTGTAACTAATGAAATAAATACTACACAAACATTTCATTTACAAAATAAGTCTAAAGATGCTATTATTAATGATTTGTTGAAAGCTTTAAAAAATTTTATATTAAAGTAAATCCATATTCAAAATCACTGTATCTATATGCTGTTCCTAAACTACATTAATCTCCTAATAAATTTCATTTTAGTTCTAGTTCAGTAAAAACTACACTAAATCAACCTGCAGTTTTATAAATAAATTACTGAATCAGTTATATCTTAAATTATAACAAAACCTAAGTAGTAAACATGATTTCTGGATAATTAAAAATAATGAACCTATCTTAAAAATGTTAGAAAATGTAAATAAAAACAATCAGCAGATACAATACAAATTTATGTTTTTACAACTTTATTTACAAATATACCACTTAACAATTTGGTAATGGCAATTAATTCATTAATAGATCAATTTATAGATCTGCCTATAAAGATAGAAAAACAAACTTTTACTGCAAACAATTTCAAAAATATGTTCAGTTTATATATATATATAGTAACTATATTCATTTTGATAAGCATATTTATTAATAAAAAGCAGATATACCAATGGGTGCTAATTATTCAAGTAGTGTTGCAAATTTATATCTTTACTATTATGAAAATAAATTTATAAATAATTTTTCAAATCCAGAATTATTTTCTTTAACTTATAGATATACTGATGATTGAATTAGCATCAATAATCCATTAATAAGTAATTATATTGGTAATATTTATCCTACAATTTTACAAATCTAAAAAACCTCTATATCAAATACTGAAGTACATTATTTAGATTTAGATATTAAGATAATTAATAATTATTGTAATATTAATATTCATGATAAAAGAAATGATTTTACCTTTCAAATTTTTGGACTTCTCTCACCAAACAGTAATGTACCAAATAATGCCATACAGTGCATCATACATTCACAGCAACTCAGGTACTGTAGAATTTGTAACAATGAACAGTTCCTAATTTCCAACATTAATATATTAATGAATAAACTGATTTTTAATGGATTTAATATAATAACTCTAATTAAATATTTTGAATTATTTTGTAATAAGTATACAAAATATGTATGTAAATTTAAAAATAGTAGTATAAATGAAATCATAATAAACACAATAAGGAAGATCTTCTAATTTTTATAGGGGAAATTTTTGGAATTACTTATTTGGACTGTATCTTGTACAGGTGTATTAATGTAAATGTAACACTTTCCCTATATAAGACCTGTTACTATGTCAGTCTTGTAGAACCTTTGAAGATCTTGACAGTAGCATGGATGGGTGGAGGATGGAAGCTGTACTAACAATTTATGTTGGGCTTAGTATAGTAATTGTGGTATTTATGTCCATACATCATTATGGGGGCTCGATTGCCAACTTCAAGGACAATTTTACTGTCTCTCCCATTGATGTATTGTATTCCAATTATTTCTTTCTCCTTACCGATTTTTTTTTTTTTATTGTGAGCAGCCATCTTTCCACATCTGGCTTCAGTCAGCAAACAGTGGTAAAGATGTGGGATGTTGTGGGCTAGAGCACTCACAGCTCTTCTTCTTCTTTTTATTTTTAGAATGTGAGGCCTGCAAAACTGAAGTTAAACTGGATAGATGGTGCACCCCAACACAGTTTGACACAATGCATAACTATTCATCTTATGGTGTGTGCCCAGGTACATGACTATTTTAAAGATGAATTGTTTCATTTCTTTGTTCTACATAATATCACAATTATATATATATATATATATATCATAATGTGAATTATGAATATAAATTTGAAAGGAATACCTTAACAGTGTTACAGAAAATAGGATCTTGTTGTTCTAGTTGATCAATCATTTAAGCTATCCAAGCAATGTGTTGTTGCTAGTGGCCGGGCAAATAAGATTTTAGGTTGGATCAACAAAAAGTCTGAAGAGGTTATAAATTCATTCTATAGGTCATTGGTTTGGCCAAACTTGAATTACTGTATTCAGTCTTTGGCTCAGAAGAGGGGTAATAATATGGTATCTGGGATGAAAAGTTCGTCATATAAGGACAGGTAAAATCTCCGAATCTGTTTTCACTTGATAAAAGAAGAGTTAGAAGGAATCGTACTAAGGTGTTTAAGATTGTTAAAGTAATTGATAGAGTTGATGGATCATCTTTTATTTGTACTTAATAGATCCCTTTTGTTCTTAAGTTATAAGTTAGTATCATTTAAAAAAAATTACATAACCTGTGCTTAGTGTTGTAACATGAAATAGTATGTAAGGAGGGATGTAACCGTTTTGAGGGAAACTGTCATTTGAGTTTCAACCATTAGTTACCACTGTCATTAATCAATTATATTATGACCTGTTATGATTGCTGATGCAGTAGACTAATGATTTTGCATTCAAAAGGTTTTCTACTAATACAACAATCTATTTACCAAGTTTAACAAGATGAGTACCGAAAGAATTTTGGGAATAATACTCTGTGATATATGAGCATGACTAAGTCAACACCATTCTCCATGTACTGCCAAGCAATATATTCTAATAAAGAACTGTCTTAAATATCTGTGTCTTGTAGAAAAGTAATCAGAAATTTAAAAAGGAATGTGAGGGGAATTTGTTGCAAATTTTATTTCGTTTTTTTTTATTTTTGTGACATGATCTCAGTGCCCTCCCATACTGATGTTGATAAAGGTTATAGTAAGCCTAATTTTACTGTAAGGTGCACTTAAACATAAGTGTAAAAACAAGATCACACAATGTGCTTAGGCTTGTTTTGCAAAATGAGGTAATTAAGAACATGTAAATTATACAGGGCCTCGTCTAGTACCATATATTTCACTACTAAATTTGACTCCTTCGTAATATTTCCTAGTTGGATCAATTTTAATTTAAAATCTAAAAGGTTGGTCTTATCTTACTCCTGAAAAGTCTTTTTTAAAAGTTTTACAGTCTTATGAACAAAATATCTAACTTAAATCATTCACTGTATGCCTTTCAATATTATCTGCAAAAACTGTCCTGGTATAAATAAATTTAACTGCCTAAAACATACTATAAGATCTAAATGGGTTGATATAAACATTTGGCAGGATATACTGAATTAGCTTAAAATACCAAACTAGTACTTTTTTTCATCTGTGTACTTCAGTCAAACTTAAACTTTTTTTTGTACAATGGATCTCTCTTACAAAGTACTTTATAGTTTTTTGTACAACAGCAGACTTGGGTAGGTGACATTTTTTACTCAAATAGCTAAAGTGGAAGTGTTGTTTGGTATAAGCAATGCTTGATTTTGTGGCTCTTAACTTGTATTAAATCTATGTGATTCTTCTACAGCATTTTTTTATCATCACAAGAAACAATAAGCATATTCTGGAGTGAGAAATACCTTGCCATTTTGAAACATTAAATATACCTATCCAGAATTCTGGAATATATTTAGGGAGGTTTATCATTATATAGCACAAAACTTTGGTAATACCTTATTTGAAGTATTGTGATTAGTTTTGAGTCCATTATTACAAAAGATATATTGATTTACATGAGAAGTTTTAGAGATGGACCACAAAAATGATTCTTGCTATAAAAGAATCAGGCTTTGAGGAGTTGCAAATATTTCAACATGTTTTCAATGGAACATAAAACTAAAAATGACCTGATTCAAGCTGGTGTTTAAAATTGTTAGGAGCTTGAATAAACTGCCCAAAATAAGTGTGTTGGATTGATGGAAGAAAAGGTTGGGGATGATTAGTTTGGTTTGTTATAAATTTCTCACAAAGCTACTTGAGGGCTATCTGCAGTAGCCATACTTATTTAGCAGTGATAGACAGCTAATCAATACCAGCCACTGCCAACTCATGGGCTACTTTTTTACCAGCAAATAGTGGGATTGACCATCATACTATAATATCCCCACAGCTTATGGGCCTAGGTCCTAGTTTAAAGCTGCCTTTACAGCTGAATTAATATTAATAGTTCTTACAAACAATCCAACTCCTACTCTATTTAATTATAAACAACCTATTCCAAAAAGCTTTCTTTTCCCATTGAACTGATCAAACAAGTTCAACCAGCTAATCTGTTTGTCCGTACATATTAATCTAAGCCTAGCATCTAGCCCTGTTGACCTACTTATAATATCATCCCCACAATTAAGTCTCAGCAGTATCCCCGACAGAATTAGATTATGGCCCTTTTCTTTAAATACCTTTATTAACCCTGTATATTTATCAGTTAGTTCATCTGATCTACCTTTTCTTTCCTCCTTAGTCCCTTTATGCACAACAAAGACTGCATAATCACTAGTGCCCTTTACTGTATCACTTGGTCTATCAATTATAATGTCCACCCTTGCCCCTAGATAGTGTAAGCTCAAATTCGATGACGAGGAACCCACTTTGAGACTAATAATGGCTGGAGACGGCTTGAATGGGTAATCAAGAAAAACATTAATATAAGTTTTTCTTCATTACCCATTCAAGCCGTCTCCAGCCATTAATAGTGTAAGCTCATTCTTTTCTCTCAGTTTATCCAACAGACTATCCTATCCATGTGTCATGCCAAAGAATCACCTATAACTATTAACATTTTTAAGTTAAGCATTACCATCCCTATCTGTTCCTTTTGTTTTCCTTCCTTCCCTTCTCTAGTTCATCTCCATAATCTAAGGGCTGAAACCTGTTATTTAATAGAACCTGCTCATTACAAATGAATTCACTACTTTTAGCCCTAATCATATGTAAGTTACTTCATGATACTGTGATGATTCAATGACTTTTGCAAAGAGGATAGCAATATGAATTATGAAGTGTATTGATATTTTTCAAAGGTCTTATAAACATTTACAATGTTAACTTATCTATAAATATATTACTCATCATTTGACCATTGAAATGTAAGACTCCAGAAAAATGCCATCCATTTTCAAAATATTAAATGTTACGAGTAATTCTACTTAATTCCTTACTATATCAATATGTTTTTGATAATTTTAATGTATATGGGCATAAATACAGAACTCACATAAATAATTCCTGAAGAATAAACACATACAAGCAAATTAAATGTTATAATTCTACTGCCAACATTCTTGTTCTATTTATTTTTTATCCTATAAAATGAATAAAGAGTGGTTTTTCAGACCATTATTTATTAGTGCTATTTTCTCAGATCATTAGTGTTATTTTCTTACATCTATCAGTGGCATTCATTTATAATTGCAAAAACAATAATCATTTCCAAATTTTATTTAATTTAAATTAATAAAATAATCATGGGATAAAAACATCACTATTCAAATACTGAACCCTACACATACTTTAAAATAATGAAACTTGAAATATTTGAAACTTGATATTTGATCATGAAATCACTACTTAACTAAAATGTGAACACTTTAACAGTAAAAATTAAATAATTAAAAATTGAACATATCATGACTAAAGTCTGTTAATATCACACTTAATAATTAAGTTAATGATAATCATATTTAAAAGTAAACCATGTAAAATTATAACACATATTGGGTTCTCATAATAACCCTTGGACTTTACCTGCTTCCAAGGTAAGTTTGATGGATTTTGAGCAAAACTACATATATTGAGGTATATTTGCACTACAATCCCGTAGACTCTGAGATAAGCATAAATCCAAGCGTTAATTTAAGAGCAGACATCTAACAGTAACACTCTTAAGTCACAGTGAGTAAGTGTTAGACTAATCATATTCCTGCTCATCTTTACTTTCAAATTAAAAATTAGGCACTTAATAAGCTCATAATACATAAACACTATTCTAATACCTTTAAATCTGGATCTGAAAAAACCCTGACATCAATATTTGTTATAATTAACGATGATGGCAACTCCGAAGAAGAATCATCAGAACATAAGTTTTCGTCTTTTAAATTTAAGACAGAGTGACCCTCACGAATATTATCTTGTTCCACTGGGGATGATGGAGGTGAAGTACAATTCATAGTGGCTTTATCTTCCGTTAACACCTGCTCAGATTTTACCATACTTAAAAAAAATCACACTCTAATATTTTAACGAAGGTTAACTTAAAAAATTATTAGCTTATTATTTCACTATTCATCATTTCTTACTAACTAATCATAAACATAATTTCCTACTTCGTCATTACCTCATCGCTCAACAGTGACATCTAAAAGGAAAATCTTACATACCAGTGGACAGTGCTATACAAATATTTTAAATAATAATTATATTCAACCAGAAGGGAGGAAGAGGTCTAGATAGAACCTGACCCATCCAGATCTATATGTCAAATTTCTACCAGAATATTAAAAGTTTGCAATAAAGATAACTATATCCTACCAGAATATTGAAAGGTTATAGTTGACTTTAGAGATTAAAGAATGATGATTTTAATTTAGAAACTGAAAATCAAGGACTAATAATATGAAAGTTAGATCTACCGAAATCATAAATATAAACATAATGTTAATATTGTTACGTCTCCGTGTGTTAATTAATTTTCCGTAACTTCGTTTCAACGAAACTTTAACGACACAAGTCTTTACTTAATAAAACTGGTTTATTCTTTCCGAATATAACTCTGCGATACACTTAATCT